GAGATGTGCAAAGTTCTGGGTGGAGGGCTAAGAGGTATCTACAAAGATTTTGGCTTTTTTTTCATTTTACAAGCCATAAGTCAAGACAGTTTGCAATTTGATCCTCTGCAGCTGAAGAGATCAAAGAACTTTGGCAAGAGTATGAAAACAATGCTTCGTTAGAGGCAAATCTTGTGAAAGATTTTGACAAGGTAAGCATGTTATTTTTTTAGTTTGCAAAAAGAAAATGCTCCGTTTCTATTGGTTCATTTGCTATGTTATTATTGTCGTCTAGGTTGAGATGATTCTCCAAGCATTAGAATATGAAATGGGTAAGCCTTTAGTTTTCATGTCTTGTAACTTGTTTTCATTTCCTTAACCTTTGTTGCTCCAACACAACAATGTTTGACGTCTGAATACTGTTTGTGGCAGAACACGGGAAAGTGCTCGACGAGTTTTTCATATCAACAGCAGGTAGAATCTCTGCTCTCTTCTTCATTCTTAAAACAAATCCGTCAGCTCCATGGTATGAGATTTTATCTCCTCCGTTGTCTGATGCAGGAAAGTTTCAGACAGGGATCGGAAAGAGCTGGGCTGCAGAGATCCTCTCCAGAAGAAATCAGATATTGGAAGACAAACGAAAATAGCCACTCGAAATCATCTCCCTCTCCTTATGCAGCTTGTCAACTGGGGGCTAAAGCAGAAACTAAAACACTCAAGAAAGGTACAATGGCACTTCTACTTACACAGTTATGGTGTAGGGCTTTGTCTTCTTCTCTTGTCATAAGTTGCTAGAAACGTAGTAACCTTAAATAGGTCCTCATCACGTAGTAACCTTAAATATTACCTCATTTCGTAATGAATCCAAAACCGACCTGATTCAGTCATCAAGCTTTCTTCATGGGCATGCATTATATTATGAAATTTTCTATTAAGTAAAGCTTATTACAAGATTCATGATCCACCACCCCATATATGTTTTTTTTTTTTGGCTTCCGTTGTCATCTCTATACAAAGTCGGTGTATTAAAGAACAGTTGTTCTTGCTACACCGATTTTGTAAAATGTGACCTTTTCATACACGAATTTTTAATTTGACAAAAAACTACATCAAATTATCAAATGTGTCAAATTGATACACGAACTACCCAATTTAACTGCAATTTCCTACACAATCCGAAAACGGTGTTAAGTGTCCGTTAAACGCTGACGTGGTACGCCACGTGGCGGCTGACGTGGCATGCCACATAGATTTTTTTGCCACATCAACATGCCACGTCGGATTTTAAAAAAAATTCCGAAAAAATATGAAAAAAATCGATTTTAAAAAAAAAATTAAAAATAAAATAAATAAACAGCAAAATATATATATACATATATATTCATATCTATATACAAATAAAAATATAAATATATATACAAAATAAAAAAAACATACACATATATATACAAACATCTATACAAATATATATACATATACATACAAACAAATATATTTATATATACATATATAAATACATATATATGTATATATATACATATGCATATACACACATACATACATACATATATACAAAATAAAAAATCATATATATATATATATTCATATCCACATATAAATACAAATATAAATATAAATACTTCTATGTATATATATTTCTATATATATCAAATAAAAATATACACATATATACATGCATTTATACAAATATATATGCATATACATACATACAAGTATATTTATATATATACACATACATATATATAAATACGTATACATGAATACATATTTATATATATACACCTACATATATATAAATATATACATACAAAATAAAAAAAATATACATGTATATATATTATATATGAATTTTTTTATTTTGTATGTATGTATGTATGTATGTATATGCATATGTATATATATACATATATATGTATTTATATATATATGTTTGTATATATTGTATGTATGTATGTATAAATATATTTGTTTGTATGTATATGTATATATATTTGTATATATATGTGTATGTTTTTTTATTTTGTATATATATTTATATTTTTATTTGTATATAGATATGAATATATATGTGTATATATATATATATATTTATTTTGCTGTTTATTTATTTTATTTTTAATTTTTTTTTTAAAATTTCGATTTTTTTCATATTTTTTTGGATTTTTTAAAAAATCCGACGTGGCATGCTGATGTGGCAAAAAAATCTATGTGGCGTGCCACGTCAACAGCTACGTGGCGTGCCATATCAGCGGTTAACGGACACTTAACACCGTTTTCGGATTGTGTAGGAAATTGCAGTTAAATTGGGTAGTTCGTGTATCAATTTGGCACATTTGATAATTTGGTATAGTTTTTTGTCAAATTAAAAATTCGTGTAGAAAAAAGTCACATTTTACAAAGTCGGTGTAGAAAAATGTCATTTTCCCCGAAAGAACAAAGCTCTAAAATGTGACCACGAACGGTGCCAAGTGACAAGTGTTGAACCCTTCTTCTTCTTTAATGATTGCGGAGAAGGACGCATGCCCTTCCATGCACGTGCATATATACATATACATGCATCGCCTCTGCGTCCGGCAAGTGAAAATGCAAAATAAAATCAAAATGTAAAAAAAAAAAAAGAGAATAAAAGGTTTCACGGATCCTTACGTTAGAAAACGTTTATGGTTTTTATCTGATATGGACGTTGCATTGGTCCCTCTCATCTACAATACTCCCTTATCTTAGTGCTTGTTTCTCTCTCATATCTTTTTATTTTTTGGAAGTATATGAATATGATCTTATTATTGTTAATACATCTCTTTTCTTTCTGGTTTTCCATTTTTGCGCTCCCATTTCACATATGATTACCTATCTATTGATATTTTTTTTGTAATATGTTATTTATGATTATTATTACTGAGATATTTTAATAAATAGAAAAAATCATATATAAATATCTAATTTTTTACAAAAATCTTATATGAACTATAAAATTTTTATATAAATACCTTAATTTTTCAAAAATCTTAAATAAATATCTTGATTTTTGAAAATTTTCAAATCAATTTTAGGTTTAGGTTTTTTTAAAATAAAAATAGTAAACATCGTTAACAGATTTTGGATTTAGTTGAAAATTTTTAAAAAATTTAGATATTTCTATAAATTTTTTGAAAAATTCGAATATTGGTATAAAACTTTTATAATTTTTATATGTATCTTAGATTTTTGTAAAAATTTAAGTATTTGTATGTTATTTTTTCAAAAAAATATTAAGGACTGTCCTACCTTATATTTATAACCCCATCCGAGTATGCCAAAATTTAATTCGTTGTAGCCGTGTCTAATGCCACGTGGTGTAACCTACTTGCTTTTGTGACTAAATAATACATTCATCCCAAAAATGAATTACATGTGTTTTTAATAAAGAGCACATTTTAATTACTTTCCATTAGTTTGCACTAAATAATCCTTTTGTGACATGTGTTAAATCATTTTACCTAAAACTCTTAAATTTAATCATTGAAATCCAGAAAGAATCTGATCTTTGGGATACAAAACAAAATTCTTTTATTTTTACTTCTTTTTTTGTCGCTTGTTTTTTTCTGTTTAAGGTAAAAATTGATTGTTGCTTTACCAAAACAAATATTGTATTGTTTTTCCGATTTTACTTAGTTTTATTTTAACGATTGATCAAAGAATTGCAAACCTTCCATATAACCGATGTTAGCGTACGTAGATTCCATCTTCGGTCACACATATAATCGAATAACAAGTGTATAAATATTATAAGATATCTCTCCTTTTCGAACCATTTTTAAAAATAAATTATATTATATACAATCAAAAGTTTACATTAATAATTTTTCAAGTGGTCGGGTCAAAATTGCAACTTGAGGTGTGCATTCAAAAGAGAGATATAACATAAACAAACATGCAAACTCCAACCACACATATAATATTTGCAAATCTCATCTTACGAAACAGATTCAGATTAAAAAAAATAATGAACGTTTCAATTAATTTTTCAATTTATTTTCTATTTTTATAATTATTTTATGTTCTATACAAATTCGATTAATTTCAGTAACATTCAATTTTATATTATATCTTATTTAAATATAACTAATTGCTTTTCCGGTGATAGTTTACGTCTGTGAATGGGAAGGCACTTGAGCGTGAGGTATACATTTATAAAATTTTAAAAAAAAAAGATTTTGCATAGATTTAAGAAAACGCGTAAAAGCTATAAAAAAAAAAAGATAAATTCTTTTGTAAAAAAAAATGGTTTCTTGACCGTTGATTTGACGTCGCAGTAAAGCATTCTTATCTGATGCAAACGAAAATACTGGAAAATTGATATTATAAAATCAAAACGATTTCGTGTTAACTTTCTGATGCTTTGGTAGTTTTTCTATGACTTGTTTGAATTGAAGCTCACAAGTGGCTGAGATTGGATTCGATTCATCGTTTTCTTGGATTCTCTCTCTCAGTTTCTTCTGCTGAAACCCAAGAACTCAAAAACTTTTTTTCTGCGGAATCCAAAGAGGTAATGACGAAGAGGGAGAAGATAATATACATATTTTCTTCACCGGTCGAATAAACAGCCGGATTCTGATGTTTCAAGCAGAGATTTTTTGAGTTATGGCGTCGGTGTAAATGAAAGTTGTTGCATTCGTCATTGAAGTTCGAAATCTTCAGCGATCTGGTTTCGTGGGTTCTCGCTCAATGATCTGGAATTTGGATTCCTATGCAAATTTGGTGATCTGGGTTTTGCTCGGCAGGTTATTTCACGATCTGGGTTTTATCTGATAAATCTCTTCTTCCGTCTTGAACCCTGAGTTTCAGTGATTTAGGGTTTAATCTAAGAATAGAGCTGGGTGATACTGAAAGTTGCTGTTGTTTCACGTTAGTAACAGTGTTTGGTGATCTGTGGTTTTGGTTGGTAAAGTTTGGTGAAATTGAGAGTACTGTGAGAATAGATTTCGGTTTATAATTTTTTTCATAGCAAGTGATGATTTTTTGCTTGTTTCTGGGGCACAGTGTGTTCAAATCTCATGAAAAAAAACAGTTCTTGATGCATTTGCTGTCGGATTCAGAGCAGTGTAGGTAATATAACTACTATAGGATTTGGGTTTTGGATTGAAATGGCAACACCTGTTCAGCCTCCAAATCCAACCCCTCCGGCCGGGCCACCGCCTACAGCCACCGCCACTTCACTTCCACAAAAAAAAAAAGAGAATAAAAGGTTTCACGGATCCTTACGTTAGAAAACGTTTATGGTTTTTATCTGATATGGACGTTGCATTGGTCCCTCTCATCTACAATACTCCCTTATCTTAGTGCTTGTTTCTCTCTCATATCTTTTTATTTTTTGGAAGTATATGAATATGATCTTATTATTGTTAATACATCTCTTTTCTTTCTGGTTTTCCATTTTTGCGCTCCCATTTCACATATGATTACCTATCTATTGATATTTTTTTTGTAATATGTTATTTATGATTATTATTACTGAGATATTTTAATAAATAGAAAAAATCATATATAAATATCTAATTTTTTACAAAAATCTTATATGAACTATAAAATTTTTATATAAATACCTTAATTTTTCAAAAATCTTAAATAAATATCTTGATTTTTGAAAATTTTCAAATCAATTTTAGGTTTAGGTTTTTTTAAAATAAAAATAGTAAACATCGTTAACAGATTTTGGATTTAGTTGAAAATTTTTAAAAAATTTAGATATTTCTATAAATTTTTTGAAAAATTCGAATATTGGTATAAAACTTTTATAATTTTTATATGTATCTTAGATT